CAGGAGGACCTCCCGCTGAGGCTCAAGGCAGGGCCTGGGGCACCAGCACAGGCTGTGGCTGGGCCCTGCCCCTACCTTCCTCTGCCTTTCTCAAGGCAGGAAGAAAAAGCAACCTGCCATCCATGAGCCCACTGACTCTTCTGGGTGGCGGTAAGAGGTCGTCACTGTGCGTAGGCAGCTGCTCCTGGCTGCAGTTTGATGGGGTCATAACTGTCCACCTCAAGTTAGGGGCTCCCTTTCATCTCTGAAAAGTGATCAATCACTAGTAGGTCAACTTTCACAGGACACATTCCAATTACATAAGCCTTCCTGTCAAACTAAGAGTCTTGGCCCAGAATTTGTTCACTCACTGACAAAGCTTGACAGATTTGTTTACGTGGTTCTCACTCAGCAGATGCCAAGGGCCTGGGTTCCAGATTTTTCTGATTTTCAAGTAGCTACTCAATGCCATCTGCCTCAACTGGGACTCCCCACTACAGGCTCCTTTCCCCATGACCCATTTAAAATACACCCAAGAAGCCATCAATATACATAGCTTTGTCAATTCCTACATTCATCCTGCAAGATAGAGACAATTCAGTTGGCTTCTACGGAAATAACAAGCCACACCGTAACAGTGAATGCTTTCAGAACCAGGAGTTAAGGACCATTCTTAAGAGTATTCCTACATACCCTATACCATATGTTGGTTGCTCCCGGATCTTTAGAACAAGGTCATCATTTCCACACCCATCCTGTAAAAATACCCTTAGGGATGAATGCACAAAGTCAGGGCACAGATGAGTGTTCCCCCTGCAGCAATTCAGAGAAATACACCTCTAGTCCTAGAAATTCCAGGAGGTCGGCACTGCTTCCGCGAGGTCGCTGCTGGTGCTGGCTCGTCTGCACCGGTGCTGTGTGGACAGGAGAACCAGGATCCCTTTCTGTACCCTGCACAGTTAAAGTGCTAGAAAGCTGAGTTATTGAGAAAGGAAAGATGGGTGTACTTCCAAGCATTGTGTTAGTTACGTTTGCCTCTGAATGTGGGTTTAGGCGAATGGTGGTAGAAAAAAAATCTGAAGACAAGTGTTTTAAAGGATAAGTCACACGCATTTAGGTAGAGTTTTTTCTTTATCAGATCCTATCATTTCTATCCACATGGAACCTGTAAATATGACTCGGGGCACTCAATGAGCCATTTAAGACATCCAAAAGGGAAATTCTAAGTAGAAAACCACATCCAAAAGCATTATATTCATTCGACAAACATGCGAGTACCTACCGTATGTCCACATTGTTCCAGACACCAGGGATATGTCAGAACCAAGAGACAAAACCCTGTTTTCATAGAGTTTCTAAATCTAGTACGAAAAGACAGCCTACTAATATAAATTAGAACACAGGGTCTGGCAGTAGCAATGCCTGCTTGAGTGTGGTTGGTAGGATAATAAAATGGGTGTGATAACTTACAGTTTTAATTTGAACATTTCACTTAAAATGTGCTTGAGTGTGACACTGTTATAGAATTACATGCTTATGATTTTGTAATACAAGATTTTGTAATAAAAAGGGGGTGTTATTTGTGCTGGACTCTGTATATGGCAAGTCAGAAGGTCACAAATACCACGAATGAAAAGAAAGCAGAAAAGAGAACAAGGAGCATTAGAAGGGGGTGGCCAGGGAAGACTAGCTGAGAAGGTGACCTGAAGGGTCGAGGGGCACAGACCTGTGGACGTCTAGGTGAGGGGCAGTCCGGACAGTGGGAAGAGCAAACACAGCAGCTCTAAGGCATCCATGAGCCAGAAGGAGCCATGTAGGTAAATGCCTTAAACTGCTTCCAGATCGAGGGATTACAATTCAGGGGCAAAATTGTCATTCACACGGCCACATTTTCCTAAACTCCCAGCGCAGAAATGTGCCTCTGTAAATGCTCACTCCAACCCCCTGTCTCAGCAAGGAAGAGACAGCACAGGGTTGAGTGAATCATCTAAGGTGAGGGCTGCAGCCACTGGCTGAGAAAGGCTTCCATGCAAGAACCCCGGAGTCAGCCCCACCGTCTTGTCTCCTGCTCTTACATCATAATTGAGGTACTTTTCCCACTTAAAAAAAAAAATTTTAAACAAAACAACAAAATCCACTCAGCTAACAATCTTCTTAGAGCTACAAATGGATGAATTTTACTTTTTCATTCAACAAACAACCAAGCGTGCCCTATATACACCCCAAATATTTGTTGAGAAATGAAATAATAAATGTAGCGTTATCCAGACGCCACTACCCAGCCATTAATTGTGTGTGTGACAGAGATACTTGTGTCCAGGGAACAATGTCTTAGATGTTTATGGAAGCACTCTATTATAGTGAAAAAAATGGAAACGGACTAACTGTCCTCAGCAGAAAAGGTGTAACTGACAAAGTGGGAACACTCTCGTCTTCTCTTGGCGAGGGAATGAATATACTATAACTTATTCATACAGTGGAATTCTCTGTAGAAGCTAAAGTAAGAGCTATATATACCTCGCATAGTAACAAATTAAAAACTGTATATTGTATGTGGAGAGAACTATGCCATGCATGTAAAATGCTAAACACACAAGCTCACGGACACTTTGCAAATAGGTAATGTCCAGAAGTACCGAAAACGTTTGGAAACTTTATATAGGAACTTCACATCAGTAGGTACCTGAGGAGGGGGGGATGGGTAAAATATTTCAGTTGCAGCTTATTTCTATGAGGGGATATAAAACAGATATGGAAAGATTAGTATCTCTTAAACCTAGGTAGTATGGGGAAATGGAAGCCTTACTACAGTCTCTTTTGATGTATATTGTAAATATTTCATACTTATTTCTAAAGGAAGGATAAGAAGGACACAAAACGCCTTCATCGCATTCCATTAATTCCACATTTGTTTCTTTAACCTCCCAACCTCAGTTTCTTCACCTTTATAACGTGAGTGATACCAAGTGCACCTGCCTCAAGGTCGCTTTGAGAAGTGGCAACTGGAGACAGGGCTTCACTGTCAGGTGCACCACTGGTGAGCAGGACACGCCATGCCCACTGTCTCCCGGGCCTGGCACTCACTCTTCTCATTCAATTTTACAAATAACAGTAACAAGGTTTTTCAACAGGTCTGTAATCACCAGCCCCCCCCACCCCCCAAAAAAGCCGTAAAACAAATTTAAAGAGTGTACATGATACAAGCAATTCATTAATGAAGCATCTCAATGAATGGAAATGGAAAACCCCCAACAGCCCAGCATGGGACCGCCTCTCCCCATCCACGTTTGCAAGCAGTGGTTAAAAATGATAGGAACTGGATGAATTTCCTCACGTGAAATCTATCTCACAAGCGCAAGAGAAAACAAAAACATGACACAGGGCAGGCATCCTTAAGAAAAGACGATCGGATTACACACATTGGTTATAAAACTCCCAGCCACACCTGTGAACAGGGACCTGCGACTGGGGACAGCAGTCCAAATCCGCCCTCCCTGTGATGCCCTGGGTCTTCTCCGACTGCGTTCGAACCTCCAGTAGTTGAAACTCCCCTCACTAAGGATGAGCTTCTGCTAAGCCCTGAGCCGTAAAAGCAGCTCCTCCCTCAGCTAGACCCTTAGAGTCTGAGATAACATTCTCCAGGGAACTGGCAGTGTTTCCTCATCCCAGGGAGCTTGGGATTCTCCTCTACCGGAAGGAAAACGCAGATCCGTCCAAAAGACCTGGGCTCCTGGACCACGGGAAGCCGCTGGTGCAGGTGAGCGGCCTGGAATCCGCAGGTCTAACCCAATCACCACTGGGAAGTTGCGCTGAGCTGGGCTCCTTAAAGGAGCGAAAGCCTGGACTGACTGCCCCAGCCTCTGGGAGGTCTCCTGTAACTCCTGCACTTTACATTGGCCTCCATCTGCCCCGTCAGCTGCCTCTCCATATTCTGAGCTCCCGACCCCCCACCCCAGCCACTCCACAAAAGGGGGATTGCGAGATCCAAACGCAAAGGACAGCGTGAGCCAGGGGTTGGCTGCTGAACCCTGCAAAGCGCAGAAATTAAACCGCGGATACAAACCTGCCAAGCTGGCAGCAAAGGGAAGGTGGATAGGGAGGGTACACACCCTCCCGGGCAGAGGCTGGGGTAGATGGCGGCCCGCGCGCCCCTCTCCCAGCTCCACCTCCTAAGTCCCAGCTGCTCCGAGTCTGCCCGAACTCCAGCATCCCTCCTTCCCGGCCGCCCTCAGACCTGCGGCGGGAAAAGGACAAGGAGGACCGACAACGGGCAGCGGGAGGCAGGCCCGGGGTGGCCTCTCCTGCACGCTGGGGCCAGCCGATGGGCTCCTGGAGTCAGAGATGGAACAATAGCGGACCCTCGCTCGCCGGAGCCACCCAGAGTCTCCCGCTCCCGCCTTCCTCCTCAGCTACTCCAAGTTCAGCGCGGAGGCTGGTCGAGCGGGGCAGCGGAGACCGGGAAGAGCCGGGCGGGCAGGGCAGGTGGGACGGGGTGCAACTCGAGGGCGCACGCAGCACGCCCTGCCGGGGGCCGGTCATTCATTGCCGCCCGCGCTCGCTCCTCCGTAGCCCCGCGCCCTGCCCCGGCTGGCCCTCGAGTCGGCGCCCGTAGAAGAAAACCTCTCTCCTAACTTGGCTCGGTCCTCCCACTACTCGAATCCCAACCATCTTCCTCTTCCCCAGTCCCCAAATCTGCCCTCCGCAGACAGCTGCCGGCCGGCGAGGGACTCGGGACTGGTGGCGGGACCCTCGCTGCCACCCGCTAAGCCGCTCCGCCCGGCACGCCGTCCCGGGCTCCCGTCGCCGCCAGAGCCCCAGACACAAAGGCGGGGACCGGAGCCGCGGACCTCGCTCCGGGGAGCCTCCCAACTCTCGGCGCCGCGCACTCACCCCATCCAGGAGACCGCAGCTGCTCCCGTGCCCCGCTGGCTGCGCCACCCCGCCCGCTCGCTTCCTGCCCGGCTTCCTGCGCCTCGGTTCCTCCTCCTCCTCCTCCTCCTCCTCCTCCGCTGCGGGGGTCAGTGGGCGCTGCGGCTCCGCGGCTGGGCTGGCGGGGCGGGGGCGGGGGCAGCGGCAGCACCACCACGTGGCCGCCCGGCGCCGGCCCCGCCGACCCGGATCCCGCGGGAGCGGGAAGGGAGGTGCTAACCATTCCCCTCCCCTTCCACCCCGCCGGGCCCTAAATTCCGCGAGTCAGGTGACCCGGCCAGGCTCTCCGGTCCAGACCTGCGAGAGTTGCCCAGGATCCGGCAGCGAGCCCTGGGCGGCGCTGGCCTGCTCTTAGTTTTGCGTGGATCGTGGAACCCTTCCCCGCGGATGTGTTCCATCGTCATCACCTGAAGTAACTGGAAAGGACCGGTACTGTGATCCCCAGGCTTAGGACAGAGGAGTGCCCAATAGTATTCCTTTCCAAAGTCACTTGTTGTCGTGGGAGCGTTACTGATCCAGAGGCCTTCTAACCAGATTCAAATCGGTTATATTTTCCAAAGTGATTGAACAGAAAGTAAAGTAGATAGAATGTGCTCATAGTCCCTGGACTGAACTAATTGGAGTGACTGTTTCCTACACTCTTTGGGTGACGACGGAAAGTAGCGTTCAGTTGCCTGAGCTGAAAGGCATGAATAGGGGGCCCTCGAAGCAGTGCCTCTAAGCAAATGGGTAGGTGTGGCCCTCCTCCCAGGACCCCTGCAGCCTCTCTCCCTTCCCCAGCAGGCTGAGACGGGCGTTTGAACGCGATGGACTCCCTTAATTCCAAGGATTTCAAAACCCTCCACCTGTTAATTTGGGACAGCCTCTTCATTCATTGTAGTCAACTAGCTTTTGGCTTAACAATTCTTTATTCACCAAAGCCCCCTCCGTTAACTGGTTAATTCTGCATTCTTTGGTAGGGCAGGAAGCTTCCTGGAGTAAACAGGTGGTATGAGTCCTTTCTGGTGGGAGTCCCTCTGACTCAATTGAACTTAAAAAAAAAACAATTACAGCAAAAGTAAAATTCGCCTTGACAGAGTTCAATTCATTGCTATAATCCTTAGTGAGATCTTATCTAAGGGGTCAGACTTTATCTACCCTCATCCCCCAGTCCCAAACCCCCTACCAGCCAAGGAAACGGCTTGTCTTAGCTTTAACTGGTGACTTACCAAGTTATCAAGCAGGGAGCAAAAACGCAAGTAGGAAGTTACACTTCACTTCCTAAATCACGCATCAGAGATTCCTTAGGGAAGTGATGAACAGCCAGTTTAAAACAAGATGCGTACTCCTCGTCCTGTCTTATCCTAGTCAGACGAAGTCACCCTCAAAAGGAAAGGGGAACAGGCAAACATTTCTTCTGGTTTAATGCTGGCAATTGCTACAGCATGGTTTTTCTTTGTGGTTCACAGTGGTGGTGCACTGCAGGGTGCTGGGTGGGCAGGAGCCACGCTGCCCCTGAGGAGTTTTCTGTTCTGCTTCCAGCAGGTCAGTCCCTTGGGTGAGCAGGGGCAGCGGGAGGGTGGGCTGTGAAGTGTGGTAGAGGGTGTGTGCCATGCCACCTTGGAAAGTTGACCCGTGTATGTTCTGTAGCTGAAGGAGTTAAACATGGAACATTAATCATTGTGTAAGGCAAGGGCATCAGCAGTTTTTAACTCAGAGCAGGCATGTCTCTCCTTTTTTCCTCTTCTGTTTTGCAGGGTCCTGTCTCTGCAGCCCTCTGCCTCGATGAGCCTACCTGCCCGTGTCAGCTTGGGGTTTCCGTGGCTTGTGTATTTTCATTCTCCTTAGTTCATAAGCCCCTATCTAACATCAGCGAGTCCAACGCTGGGCGAAGGATTGTTGAGGAGGAAAGGACCATTATAGTCAGTGCAATGGGCCAAGACCATGTTCCAGATCCCCCTCCCCTGAAATCAGACCGCAGCTGAAGTTCAGCCTCTGGCAGGGAGAGTTCTGGTCAAGAATGGGACTTCTCCTGGTTTTTTGGTTTGGGGGGGTCTCCCTCCCTCCACCGCGCCCCCAGGCCCTTTGGAAATGCTGATTGGATTCAGAATACACTGAACAACACCCTTGGATGGAGACCAGGCCCAGGTAAAAGTGTGTGAAAGACGAAAAAGAAAAAGAACACATGGACAGGGATGACCGGGTGGTGATTGAGGGTGGGGGGGGGAGTATAAGGGGACAAAGTGGTCATGGGAAAAATATAATAAAGATTATATATTTTAGCTCTGGCTGGCATAGCTCAGTGGATTGAGCATGGGCCTGCGAACCAAAGGATCTCGGTTTGATTCCCAGTCAGGGCACATGTTGGGGTTGCAGGCCAGTTCCCAGCAGGGGACTCATGAGAGGCAACCACACATTGATATTTCTCTCCTTCTCTCCTTCCCTTCCCCTCTAAAGATAAATAAATAAAATCTTTTTAAAAAAAGATTATATATTTTAAAAATAAATAAATATTTAAGTGACAACTTCAGAAAAAACATAAACTATCTAACCTGCATAAAGTTGATAAAAACTTTTCTGGGGAGAAATGCATGTTGTTTGTTGCTAGAGGAATGACTCCCAGTCAAAGGTAGCTGGTGCGATGCACAGCACTCGGAGCAATGGGGGCAAGAGGGCCAAGTTTCCCAGCCCCGCTCTTTCACTAGCTTGCCATTTGAACTTCACCGGGTGTTTGAACCTTTCCTGGTCCCACTTTCTTGATCAGTAAAAGAGCACACTGAATTGCATGGCCTCTGAGAATTTTCCCAGCTCTAACATCCTAAATCCATTCTGTTAGCTTCAAGAGCCTTCGCAAGCAATGTCGTCCTTCCATTTTTCAGCAAAACATGGTTCTCGAATGGTTCTGCGTGTCTCTCTCACCACACCAATAAGATCGTCAGCTTCAAACAGTGTTGCCATTCAGGACTGAGCAGGGTCTACAAGTGAAATTCATTGATTGGTAGGGCCAAGTTTTCACTTTTGAAATTATATGGTACTACATTCTTTCTTGCTTGCTCTATCTCTTGTCAATCTTCCAAGATTATGAACTTCTGGGTAACCAAAGCTAAGACATGTTAGGGTCACGAGAAACTGCCCCTAAAGGAGGAAATAGAGATAGGTATCGCACAAAAGCCGAAAAGGAGCCCTGCACTGTTGGTATGTGAGCAGGGTCTCGCTGCGCTTCGGGGTCTGCTGGGAGGCTGCATGATTGAGGGGAGTGTGGCCACAGGAGGCTGGTCCAGGGAATGAAACTAAAATACAATCTGAAGGTCAGAGGGACGTAATCTACAGGAAAGAGCCCACATATTTATAGAAAAGACACTTTTTGTGTTTTTGTATTTTCTTGGGAATGTTTTCAAATAGGAAGAAACTGTGACCTGAGAGAAACTAATAAAGTAACTTCAGCTTTGCCTTTCACAATTTAATAAGATCACAGTCATAAAGTAGCCTGCAAACACTGATTGGCCACGGTTTTCCATTTGCCAGGAAGCCGGCAGAGGTTTCGCCAAGGGTAAGTTACTATACTTTCCTTCTCAGTGACCCTGGGCATCCATTCGGGATGTAGGACTAAAATGCTCAGCAACAGTACACTCCAAAGCTCTGCATCAGAGCCCTGCTTGGAAGAACATGGCAGAGAAGCTAAATATCTCAACCTTGACATTACAGACACGAGATGACCTTAAACCTGGTCTGTCAACTCACAGGGGAAATATAAAGTCTGCAAAACTGTGCTGTCCAGGATGGTGGCCACTAGCCACATGTTAGCGCCTGAAACGTCACTCACTGGTCCACTAGTCTGCTAAGCTACTAACCACCTGAAATGGCACTGCTCCGAATTGAGATGTGTGATAAATGCAAACCACATGGCAGATACTCAAAACAACAGTTCCCCACTAATGTTTATACTGCTTATATACTGAGATGTTAATATTTTGAATATCTTAGGTTAAATATGTTATTGACACTGATTTCAGTTACTCCTTTTTTTAATGTGCTTAACTGGAAAATTAAAAATTAGTATCTGGCTTGCATTAGATTTCTCTTGGATAGTGCTGCTCTAGGAGCTAATATTATCATCTCACACACATTTAGCATCGACTCTGTACCAGACCCTTTCCTAAGTGATACATCAACCACAGTGGCCATGTACTGAATTAGCCAACCTGGGACACTGTTACACCTGTTACACGTTTGAGAGGAAAACAGGGCAGGCACACTCTACACCAGCCAAGATACTAGGACAGAAGGCATAAACTATACCTGTCCTGAGCAAACTGAGATGTCCGGCCACCCTAATGTTAGGTCATTTAGTCCTTATACAAACCCTGTGAGGACCGTTATCCTCCCCTTTGCTTACAAGAGGGAACTGGGCCCAGAGAGATTAAGTAACTTGCCCAAAGACCCAGCTAGGAAGTGCTGGAGTTCCAGCTACAACAGTCTGGCCTTAGAACCTACACCGTTAACTTCAATCCTGCCTCTGTGAGAGCTAATATGGATTGAGGATTTTGGTAGATATAGTTTGATTCCTCACAGCAGCAGGATGGAGTATTACCTTGTTTCGATAGATGCCAAAACTGTGGGGTGTTTTTTTAAATTTATTTAGTTATTTTTCTAGAAGAGAAGAGAGGGAGAGAAACATCCATGTGTGGTTGCCTCTCCAGTGGCCCCACTGGGGACCTGGCCTGCAACCCAGCCATGTGCCCTGACTGGGAATCGAACCTGTGACTCTTTGGTTCACAGGCTGGCACTCAATCCACTGAGCCACACCAGCCAGGGCCAAAACTGTGTTTTGAATAGATCCAGCAACTGCCCAAATCATAGAAGCAGAAAGACTGGGGCCAAGCGTTAGAGTGTGCGATGTCAGTTCCAGAGTGATCCTCTACCCCACACTCTGGGTTGCCTCTGGACCGCCTCTGTATACTCTCAGAGTGATTTCATTCCTTCTCCCACTTCTGGTGAAAGACTAGCTGTAAAGGAATGGAACCCAGGTGCCATCCCTGTGGGACAGAAAACAAACACTGAAAACTCAATCTTGGTGGCCTCCCCTTTTACAAAAGAAACAATTCTAGATAATCTAAATAGCCACTGTGCTGCCAAGTTGGTTGTTCCGCTATGCCTGTCAGAAATTCCAGAACATACTCTCCCATTGAGGCAGTGGAGGAGGGCACTGTGAGGACCCCATAAACATCCAGGAGGTGGTTAGACGTTATCAACAGGCTAAGAGAAGGGGCTTTCACAAAGCTCCACAGTCAGAAGCAGCAACTTGGCATGTAAACCCACGAGTGTGCCAGGCACAGCTTTTCTTTCATCCTCTGAGGTGGGTCATGACCTTGGCTGCCCATGAAAGTCACCCGCCTTTAAAAACCACCAATTTTCTTGGCCCCGTCCCCTACAGTACAGATTCAAGTGGTCTGGTGTGGGGCCCAGGTGTCGCCACTTTCTGCTCTCCCTATATGATGGGGGTGTGAGGCCACACATTAGTGTCTGCCTGTGCCTTACCTGGGAGCGTCTGGTTCTTGACTTAGCAAAGGGAGGCTGGGGGGGCGGGGGGAGGGGGGACTCGCAAAGGCCCTTGCAAAAGTCATTGCTCCAGAATGATTTCCTGATGGAGTGATCCTACACCGAGCCGCTGTTTTTGTTGGCCTGGCCCGCTTGTTTTCTGTTATAGCATTAAACCTGAGCTCTGGGTTTTTTGTCTTCCTCACTGAGATCAAGTTCTGCCTGTGAGGGATTTTAATTACTGATTTTCCCCTACCCAAACAGTGCACCCATAATAAACCTGTGGACGTACTATTTTCGCTGATGAGTTTACTTAGCAACTGTTACAGATGCTTGTTTATGTTTTTCGGAGGTTTTGTAGCTATTCAGTTCCTGTCATTCATCTCCACTTTTCCATTTTTGTCACTCTCTTTAAAGTCATTAGGAGGCCACATGAAGTAGAGTGCTTGTTGTTTTCAAAATTCATCTCTCGGCTCCGAGGGAACGCATTTCTGAGAGACATTTTCCACAGCAGACTGTGAGTGCTTAAGATATATGACTGCACTGTGAAGATATTTCACGAAATTCCACAAGTCCTCTGTTTGTTTTGCCTGAATACAAATTCCTCAACTATCCAAATATGTGCCTTAAGCAGGTTTCTCACGTTCAGGACAGAGGTTCTTCCAAGGTGAAATTATGATTCTTCTGTTGCCTTTTTTTTCAAAGACAGTCCTGAAATTTATTGTTCTAGACTTCCTGTTTGAGCCTCAGGAGGAGAAGATTAAGAGCGTGAACATGTCTCTGTTCGCCCTGTGACATGCCAGAGACAGGAGGGATGACTTGGGGGAGCCAGGAGGGTCACCGTGGAAGTATTCTGGGGACCAGGAAGGGCCGCAGAGGCCATGGCAACTTCCTCTCATGGGTTCCTAGGACCCTCAGAACACAAGTGCCAAGGAGGCCAATTGGCTTCAGAGTAAGAGACTGATAAAAGGGAGGGGCCAGCGTTTTGGTGTTAAGTTTATTGAGGTTACTATTGGCCAACCCGAGGGGAGCGTGCCTTGTTGAATTATGTAACAGGGAAGGGAGTTTTGGAGGCCCTTTCGGGGGACCAGAAGACGAAATTGGCACTGAGCTGGTCTGGGAAACTGGCCACCAAAAGACCCAGGGGCCGGGGACAAAGGGAGGGAGGTAGAAGTCTGAGTGGGTATCATAGTTGCTTTGTGGACATCTGGGAGGTATTTTAAAGCATTTTAATTTAAACTGTGTGCCTTAAGAGGACTTTCCATTCACATCCAACATCACATGCTCATACTAAGAAATACAAATTATGAGAACGTTCAGGGTGCTCTTTCTCCTCCGGACTCTCGCTCCCCGACCACGCTGCCTTCTACTCCAAGTCTGGGCATTCTTCCTCCCATGCTCCATTCGGCGGGATGGAAGATGGTGGGTGTTTTGGAGAAAGTTGGGAGTAGATGTGTGAGGCCAGCTCTGCAGAGGATCAGCAGACAGAGAAGCTGCGTATCTGGCCAGCAGCCCCCCAGCACGGCCTGAGGAGTGGCTTCTCCAGCCTGAAGCAGTTGTCAGCTGCTGGGCAGCAATTACAATGAACTCTCTTTTATTTTCTCTTTGTTTTTAAATGTGGAGTAAAGATGAGAAATGAAAGAATTTTAGGAAGGAGGGAGGGAGGGAGGGAGGGAGGGAGGAAGAAAGGAAGGAAGGAAGGAAGGAAGGAAGGAAGGAAGGAAGG